GAAATCCCAAATTCAGCTTCTGTGAAGAACCGGCAGCCGTTTCCCCGCGCGGCGTTGGCAGCTGCTTTTCCAAGGCCCAGCGCGCTGCCCGGGAGGCGGCGGGAGAAGGGCCGGTTGGGCTTGGCGGCCCCGGGGGACACGGCGGGGTGACACCCAGCAGCCGCCGCGAGGCCCAGCAGCGGGAGCCCTATCGCCACAGGCGACAAAAGCCAGGCTAAACTGTCAAAAATAAACGATTTTACAAAAACAAAAAAAAGCGATTTTACACATCCTCTCCCTAAGTTCATAAGATAAAATGCAAAAGGCCGGGTAGTTTGTCGGAAGCCTCTTTTCAGCCTTAAAAAATACTGGTTTGACATCTGATAGAATAAAGGACAAAAAAAATAGTGGCAAGACTTTACCACACGTCTTCACACCCCAGCCTTGGCTTTACAACTTAATAAAGAAATAGGATTTAGAGCTTTCTGATGAAAAGAACCTGCTAAACTCATAGTCACTCCCTGGGGGCATTAGGAAACGGGTGTTTTTGAGGCCGTTTGCCCTAGCCTCACTCTGCGATGTGGTTCCCCACCTGGACAGGACAGGGACGAGCAGAGAGAAGAGAAGAGGAGTTGAGTCAAGACTTAGAAACTTGACAGAGACTTAACAGGAAAAGAAAAAAAAAAAAAAAACACACACCAAAACATGCATTACATAGAGTTGCAATTATTCGAGTTCCCTCTGTGCTCCGGGCAACAGAAAGAATAAGTGTGGACGGGTGCTAAAGCACAGAAAGGATGTTTCAGAGTAGCTGGAGGTGTGGGATTCACTCAGACTTCAGGAAGGATTTTTTTGGGGTCTTGTCTTTTTTTTTTTTTCCCCTCGTGAAATTACAGCATAAATAGTTAATTTTGTAGCTTTTTGCAGTGCTTACTTCACTGACTATGTAACTGACAGCCATGTTTGAGAAAAGTGTCTTAAAAGGCAACTTGTTGGCTCAGCGGTGGCTCACAGCGTTTCTGCAGGTACCCCACAGCAGAGGGGACAAGGCACGGGTCCATCAGCCAGAGCCCTGCAGCTGAAGTTCAGTGGAGGCTGCACAGCCCCAGAACAGGGCCCAGCTCACTCCCCCCTGAACTCTGCACAAGCTTCCCACCTCAGGGCGCTACTTCGGACAGAGAAGCTTGCACACACTTAGGGAACGGGTCTGCTGAGCGAGCTGGTGCCAGCTGTATGCAGCATGTTGCTGTTCAAAACCTCCTTTCGGATGTCCCCGAGTTAGCTTTGCAGCCACTAGCTGATGCACAGAATTTTACTTTGTGCTCTGGGAAGCGGTTGCCGCTTTCATCGAGCTCTGGGCTGCCATAGCTAAACTTGCTAGCAGTGCACGCACAAGAGACCAAGTACCAAAAGGGTACTACAACATCCAGTGTGCAACCATTTTTTTCAGCTAGTTTAATGATGACAATTATTCACTGAGCTAACATAATATGCTGCTGAGATGCAAAATTTTATGCCAGTATGTATGTGCTTTTAAGTGGCAAATTTGGGAAAGACTCCCCAACACAGGAATATATCAAATAAAAGATTAAAAGAATCCTAACATATGTTAGTGTGAAAAAATAAAAACAAAGGAAGACTACATGCAGGTCAGTGACAGTGGAATATGCATTTTCATAGGGAATTTAATTACTGAAGCCAAACTCAGCTATGTGCTTTTGCTCATAGCATTCTTGTGGAAGAGCTTCAGCAGACTTCTGGGCAAGCATTGGCTGGACGGACTTATTTCAGGGTTTTCTCTGCTAAAAACCAGATCTGCTAGAACTATGAAAGGTAAACTATGTGGAAGACAACAAATGTAAGGGCGAGGTCTCCCTAGCATTTTCTCCCAAGAGATTACATACTGCAGCTCATGTAATCTGAAGAATTGTAACACAGCCCAGTGTAACAACACATATCTAAAAGACAAAGTTTATATATTGTTGTACTTGCTGTAAATTTAATTGTGGTTTTTGGGTTTTTTTTACAGTTGAAAACAAATACAAGAACTTTAAATAAATTTACAAGAAAGTGCAAAGGCAATTAGCCAAATGATTAAAGCATTCACAGAAATGCATTCCAGCTACTAGCATTCCAGTATGGTCTTTTATTAACACACAGTTAAAACCTTGTGGATAAATATAACAATACTTTAAATTCTCACTTAATTCAGAGTAGTCTTGGACACAGGTGACCAAAAGAACCCATGTGTTGCGTACAGAACCACAAGAGAGTTTGAGTACTGAAGAGGTTCAATTGCTGAACTACAACAGTCCCAGACAGGAGGCATTTAACTGATGCTTTTTGTTGAGAAGAGTGTTTCCAGGGCTCCCTACTGAGTCCTCTGGGAAAGCAAAGCCCTGGCCCCACTCCAGTGTGCATCTGCCTCAAAAAATCCTCTTTACAGGGTCTGGCACTCTGCAGTGTGGCACCAGTTGGTTCTAGCTCTTGCTCCAGGAGCATCCAACCTTTGCCCAAGAACACAAGACAAAAAAGTAATGGCTGCAGCTGCACACCTGTATGAGGAAGAAGAGGCCCAACCAGGGCTCAGGCTAATTTCTTTCACAAAGAATCTTCATAAAGTTGTATGGGCTTCTGGCTGCTGGCGTGCTCTCTCATGAAGAGCCGAAATCCAGCTTTTTCAGACAAATATCACAAAAGGAATGACATTTTTCTTTACGAATTACTGAGCTAGGGCCTCAGGATTTGGCTTCCCAACCAAGGGCCAAAATACAAGCAGAAATACTCATCAGAATAGCTCAAGAGCTGCCCCTTAAAAAACAGCCACACAAACCAATTTCTTTGCTACTAAATATAGCAGCTATCATTTATTCTCTGCATTTTTTCTTCGAAAAATAACACTTATCTGCTTTATCATTGCAAATGAGAAATGGCAGTGTGTTTAATCTCTGGAACCACCACTCAAGATAAAATATTGACCCTGTGTTACAGAGTCTCTCAAATAAACAACCAGCCACCAAAAATTTAAAAATTATTATTAACACAGTTAACTAACTCTCCATAAATTACAAGTTCAAATGTCTGTGAGAGGAGAACAGAACAACTTTCTAGGGTTTAACGGCAACCTACAACACAGAACAAAGCCCGACTCCCTAGGGTTTAACAGCAACCCAAAATGCTTTATCACTCACCTGACAAGTGAGGACTCTCAACCTTGAGGACCTGCTCAGGGCAGTGTCCCGACCCAAAGCCCCTCGAACAGTTTCCCTGGGCAGTGTCCCGACCCAAGGGGAGAGTCCTCAACCGCAGCTGCTGCTCCAGGGGACGAGCTCCAGTGGGTCCCCCAGGGGACTCCATTTACACCCAGGCCCAGTCTGACCTGTAGTCAATAGCAGCTCTCATTGGCCAAAAGCCCCAATTGCCACGAGGCCCTGAGAACAAAGGCAGCCCCAAGCTGCTGCACCTCAGCAGCCAAGAAGCTCTGCTTTTGTTGGGTGGGTGCACCTGCCACAATCCATCCCGTGACTACA